CCACGCGGCGCACGCGCAGTTCCAGCACGCGGCCGCCGCCGCGCACGAGCACGCGGGATTCGCGGCCGCCGCCGCTGCCGCCGCCGCAGCCGCGCAGGGTGAGTACACGGCGGCAGGCGCAAGGGTAAAGCGGATAATTCACGGGCAAGCCTGGCTTGACGAGCCTGCGGCGCGCCCGTTGTAAAACTGTCGAACTTGCAAGCCTGGCTTGCCAGTGAATAGGCCGCTTAAAGAGCCGTCGTCCACACAGAAGCGAAGCTGAAGAGTCTGACTTGCCAATGATTAGGCCACTCAAAGAGCCACATTCACGTTCAAGCAAAGCTTGCAAGCCTGAATAATGCTGGTTGTAAAACGTCGCGTTCGTCCTAAAATGCTTGCAAGCCTTGCTTGAACATGAATGAGATCCTGAAGAGGGAAAAAGCGAAAGTGAGACTATTACTCAGATGCATCTACTAAAGAATTTTAATTTAAAATCGCGATGGAAATATTCATTAAATAGTTAATTTTAAAAATGATTTTCTACATTCCTTTAATTTTTGTGAGATTATTTGGAGCTATCTTCACGTTAAATTATGCAACTTCTTTAACAGAAATACATTTTAAATACTGTTTATATCATAGACATTTCTCGTAACCACCTAAATATTACAAGCAGTAATTAATTTTATCATGCGTAATGTTTTAATTTTTAGACTATCATACAATGTAAATTTTTACATTTAATTGAAAGTATGAAATTGTAAATGAGCGCGTGACACCATCAATATTGCCCCAGAAGACATCAACTCTCTTAACGTGTCTGAGTGGCAATGCTGCTCAGATTCAAATCAGGGCTTCTGCGCGTGGACTTTCAATATTTGTTTCTGGGATTGTCAGCGCAATGCTGCGACACGCCTTTGGCTAAAAAGCCAACCTTTCAAAAACTTCAAGACCTTCTTCAGAGGAGAAATTCCACTATTACTAGCTCATTCTAATCTAAATAACGCACCGAGAATTAAAGTCTAATTAGTGGGGTTACCACCAAGACCGCGATGCCTTCTTAACATCACCGACAAACACATAAGATCAAATTTCCTGTATTTTTGTAGTACGAAACGTTACGAGCTTGTAGAAACGTAATATCGGGATAAGGGATCCTAGCACAAAGAGCTGGCGCTAGTCAAGCACAAAGAGCAAGAAAACCGTATTCTCAAAGGGAATAATTCCATCTATAGTTGTTTCCTAGCCAGTCTTATTATTATAAGAGATTGCTATGGTCTGGTTCTTAAAAATATCGAAAGGAATTTCTTATAGTTATTTTAGGGAAATAAAACATATTTATACTCATCTTGTAAACATAATAAATTAAGTATTCAACAATATTATTTCATGGAATGAAAAACGACGGTGTCCTGTCAGCTACACGATTGATTCAAATTGGAACAAAATGTAAGCGGAACAGTCACTAGGTTCGAAATTACTTTTGAATACCACGCGCCAGAAATATTAATAAATTGATCATTTCCAATATTGAACATACATTGAGGAGATAGACGAAATCTATGAAAAATACCAAAAACTATTTTGGTGGAATAATATCTCTAAAATATATTTAAAATACCTAAACTTATTTTGCACTACCGCTGTCTACGGGTATAGATTACAGGTCGCAGTTCCTGATACTTCCAAAATGAATGATGAAACTCATTAGCACAATCATTATGAACACAGTTATGGTATTTCCAATGGCAATCAAATACTTCCAGTTTTTTAGTAACGTAGCAACATTAATGCTACATCACCGGAATTAACTGTTAAACGAATTTCAATGGCGTCTTATAATGCAATTTTTATTTTATTCCTTCATTTCTACCTTTTCCGGATCTATATTCTTAGCCAAAACTGGGTCTTGACGCTGGTAGGAAAGCAGTACAATTCAACCACAGTACAAATAACTGTTTCACTTTTTATTTCCAAATGAATAGAATAACCACATGGTGTGTATGCCACAAGATCTGTTGTCGCCGCACACGATTAGTTTATTGGATTTGTGAGAGATGGTACCTTCCATTTCTGTATGAAAAATATTTTCCCTGACTCTCAAAATTTAACGAAGTAACATTTAATGACTTAGAATATTAACGGTTTTCATCGATATTACAAATACAAGAAGAAATTGTTAAACTATAAAACATTTGCAAGTAGATTGAACGGCTGATTGGCTTTCTGTTCTCATATTAGAGAAGAGAAGGATTAGATGTTAACAATTAAGTAATTGTA